TCACTGCTGGAAGATGGCAGGAGGGAGGGGCTACTATATATGGGCAAAGATGGCCGCTCCCAGACTCAGTGATAGCAAAGAAAATTATTGTTTTTATTCATATACAGATTAAATCTATATTCATTAAATCACCGTTTTAGGTCTAAATAATGATCCATTGATTATTCCTGCTGATCGGACTTTTCCGTTAAAATTACTCAGAAAATTATACAGTAATGTGCTACATTACTTCGTCCACCACTGCATCTGTTAAGGACCTGAATGGTGTTATTACAATACTTTCATTTATTTGATCATTTAGATCAAATAAACAGTCAAGTAGTACTTTCATACGTCCAACAGATTCTTGCTCTTTACTACGTTATATAAACTTATATTACTTTCAAAAAGCCTCTCAGCTGTTTATAAAATTATGTTCATTCTAATAAAGAAAGTTGAAACACACCAAATAATTTAGATTATTTTAATCCATGCATCCAACCAAACTTTCACACACTACATACCCTGAAGCGCTGAAAGTAGAGGCTGTTTCGACTTTTGACCCTGCCCATCACGTACAGGAAGTCGGGGGTGAGGACAAACGGTGCACGCTCCCTGCTCACTCCAAGGAAGCGCTTCCTGTTACCCAGAATGTGACCGAAGTCGATGTGGAAGAGGTTTCCTGTAAGGAGGACATCAGAACGGTTTCACCCCATTCCTCAGTTTATGTGGGATTAATAATCTCCTCATTCAAAAATGATAAACATGAATTATTGCAGATCAAACCAAGAGCTGCAAACCCTGGTCTGTGATCATGATGTTGTCATTGTGTCTGTCTCCTATCCCCAGGACGTAGGTGGCCACGCAGTATCCTGCGCAGGACTTCACAAACCGCTCCACGGCCTTGTAGTGCTGCAGTCAGATAAAGACCATCAGTCTAACAGAAAACCTTTCCCTGTTAAAAGCTTCAAATTCAGGACAGCAAAGTCAGACTTTTTATATAAATCACATTAAATACCAAATATTCATAGACGATGAAACTCCCTGTTTAAACCATTAAGTCTACAGACGTCCACTTGCTCTGCTAGCAGCCTGTATTAAAATCTATGTCAATATTAAAACGCTTTAGTTACATTTTTATATTCAGATAAAATTAAAACCATTGAAAGACATCTATAAATCTTGATCAATCTCATGAGCAGCCTGAAGCAGCCACATAATAAACACATGTTTTGTTTTAATGTAAAATTATTTCCCAGCACAGAAATAATCTGTCCTTTAATAATGTTACAGTGAAACATAATAGGAGTTTATTTTCACAATCCTAAACCTATTTTCTATTCATATATACATAAATTCAACACTTTTCCGTTTTAAATAAACTGTTAATACTTTGATAGGATGTAAATGTAGTTTAAAATTAATCTATATTTAACTTTTTCACATTCTGATCATTTTCCCTTTGTAGAAATTTTACAATAAAAATGACAGCGACAATGCAATTGATACTTTCTAGTGCATCATTTTAAAGCTGGTATGAACTTTTATTTGTTGTTGAGGAGTTGAGGGCCCAATATCAAGGTCTTTCCTGGGGCCCCAGATTCCTGGTGGCCCTCCTGCTGCCAGCACAGGTTTGTTCAGTTGTAATCAGACTCTCATCACAGTATTTCCCCCATTATCATTTTTTCAGAGAGCTGAATGACTTTCCTGCTGTGACCCGTTTACAAGAGCGAATTAAACCGAAGAAAAAAAATCTAAGAATGGATTCACAATCAACCAAATACTTTTTTCAGAGTTATATATGACTGGATGGGATTGCATGCTGTGCTTTGTGTACCTCTAAACATATCAGACCAATTAATTTCATCTTGTTTGGAACGCGAGCTGCTGGACCTACATCGTTTATTCCAATCTTCTTGGGATCTGGAACCATTTAAATGTATAGAGGACGGTCTTTTATTTCCTGGTGGATCACCTCAATCAGTGGTCCTCCTAACTGTCAATCATTCTGGTGATCTGTTTACGTCAGGCCGTCCTACGCGATCGTCCCATTAGCTAGCTTTCTCTGCACATGCGCACTTTCAGGCGTATATCTGTGGTGAGTTACGGTTTCAGACGGTCATTGAAGTTCACCTTTCTCACCGCTGTTCTTTGAAAATGGCCGAGGGGCAGAAGAGAAAATGTGTCTATGAAGTTTGAGGAGAAAAGAAAGGCCTCAGAGGAGGCAGATATATCCCAGAATGCTTTGTGCGGAGAGCTCTCCCTGCAGAGCATTATGGGATGTGCTGTCACAGCGGCCCCCTGTGGCCATAGGTTGTCTACATCCGACAGCGGCGACTAATAACATCTGTCCGACGGGTCAGTTTGCTATAAAGTCCACTATATAGTCCCCGCTGTGGGTGGACTCAGTTAGCTGGTATGAGTTATGAGAACAGCGTATTTTAAACAGGGCGTGCACGAGGAGAAATGGGCTTGTGCTTGTGCATAAGCGGATAAGGCGGGTCTTTTAAAAAGTTGTCCATAATACCTTTAAAAGGTGTCTGAAAAAGAAGATGCCCAGCTGGTGCTGGTTCCTCTCTGCATGTTTTTAAAGAAAGCTGTCGCCCTGTAATTAAGCAATGATCTGTTCTGATGGTTTAATAAGATTCAGCCTTGGTGCAGATTACAATTAACATCTTTCAACGCATTTCTGCATTCTGCTTGTTTTCTTCTTAACAGCTCAAACGAATGGTTTGGCTCATTACCACTAGAAATGTCAGGTTCCTCCCCTGAGTCCATCTTTTGAGTTTTGGCGGCGCTGTGGATAGAATCCAACTGAGTCTTAAAGTCAGACTTGAAAGGATGCTGGAGGCCTTTGGAGGCGATCTCATCATCTGGTCCAGGTCGTTCTGTGGAGCCCTAACTCCTGCTGTGTCCACAGATTTAAAGGTCTTGTTCTTCCTATTGATGCAGTCCTTTAGTCTCTTTGAAATATGCAGCTCGTTAGGGACCTGTCAGTGTTTGCATGTGACTGAATTCTATGAGGTGCCCCAGGGACATTAAGCAGAAATAACTTCATATACACATATTAAACTCTTCCATATAATATACCGAAAAACATGCATAAATACTAGTGAAAAGCTCTCACATAAACTAGTGAAAAATAACCTACTCAAAAGCTCTCATACAAAGTAGTGAGAACTGGTGAAATGCGTTATCTTTCATACACGCTACTAAGGCTACGTTCACACTGCAGGCCTTGATGCTCAATTCCTTTTTTTTTTTTTTTTATCGTTTTTGTTGCGTTGCCGTTCACATTTCCAAATATATGCGACTTCAATGTTCTCCTGTGTGAACTGCAGTCATACAACGCAAGTGCCGCAAGCGCAGTAGAGGACACGATGACGTCACAGGCCAGCATGCTCTGTGTTTACAGAAGTAAACATGGATGATGGATGGTAGCGCCGGCGCCCACCTAGCGATCTTTCCCAACTATAAAAACAGAGGCATAGCCAGAACATTTTTATAAGGGCGGCCAGGCAATAACCAATGTACACTGAGGGGGGAGGGCGAAAGTGGATAGGGGCCAGAACCTCACGGTCAAGCCAAAGATAAGGCTAACTATACTTTCCTACAGCCTTTACTAACATATAGATGCATACATTTAAACATCCCTGCTTTCTAGATAAAAGGTATATTGGATCAAATTCTTTCAGGGGAAAACATCTTTTCCATTGTCATTACTTACACATTATTCATTCTGTAAAAAATTATATTTACAAGCACTAATATCTAAATAAATTGATTATTTAATAGGTTTTTATTAAAATTGTTATTTATCTATGATTTCACTGAAGACTCCTGGATGACTTGCAGGGACACATCATTTTCTCTTTACCCCAAAAACACTAAATCTGGTTCTGAAAAGTGGATGAATTTTGTACTTATCATCTCTAATGTTAGTATATTGATGTGTATATTTAACCACAGCGTTTTTGTTGTTAAGAAGTTATAAAGGCATGAAAAAGTAGTGAGTAATTATGAAAAATTAAAATGAATCTTTCACTTGAGAGTATTACATCTGCCACCATCCATATTAGAGGGGAAGAAAGGATAGAGGTGGCCACAGGGGGGGCCATTGTTTGGCTAAGGGTGGCCATGGCCACCCCTGGCCCCCCATCTAGCTCCGGCCCTGCATAAAAAATATAATCTTTTCAAGTTAGTTAAAAATAATTACTGCTTCATACCAAGACGCAAAATAGTGACCTTTGTCGGGTATTAATGGCGTTCAGGTCGGATTAATGCGACCTGGACGTTCAGAAACAGGTCGCATTTGAAAAGATCAGATTCATATCGGATTCAGGACCACAGAAACCTGGATCGCATTGGAAAGAATGGGATCTGTGTTGTTCAGACTGCCATTAAAAGATCAGATCCAGGTCGAATACGGGTAAAAAAAATCGGATTTGGGTCGCTTCAGGCTGCAATGTGAACGTAGCCTAAAAAGCTTTCATACACACTCCTGAAAAGCTTTTATATACTACTAATAAGCTTTACTAATTAGCTTTCATACAAACTACTAAAAAGCTTTTATATATATGACTAAAAATCTTTCATATATATGACTAAAAAGCTTTTTTTGTTAGGAATCCAGTTTGTGTGGGTTGTGTTTTTTTGTGTTTTTTCCCTCTACCACCAGGTGGCGCCTGGTTCTCGTTGGCCTCCTTACACACCTGCGGATGGTTGGCTCATTACCGCAGGACTCTTAAGCTGCTGACTGCCGTTACCTTGACGCCAGAGTGTTTGCCAGTTTTGGGTTCTCTAGCCAAGCTGAGTTTTGCTGAATCTAACTGAGTTTTTGTCAACCTGAGTCTTAACCTTGTTGTTTTTTGTCTTTGCCTCTCAGCAGGAAGTCATCCTGCATACTGGATGTTTTGGACCTTACCCCCCTGGAAGGATTGTCTGAGCTTCAACTGAGCTGGGGATTCAAACTGGAGGTTTGGATCTACCTTTCCTCAAAGGATTGTTTGAGCTTCACACTGAGCAGCTGATTCATCTCTACAAGAAACCGTTCAAGTACCATAGGAAATCTAAGTGGCAGTCAGCTCCTCCTTTCCTCAAGGAAACACCTCAACCTGGGTAAACCCTGTCCGCCCTCCAACGAGCAAGTCAATTACTGGAACAACCCACACCTACTGGATTCAGAGATCGACACCTTTTCTGGAAACGTGAGTCCTATTGCCTTTATTCCCTTGTGCAAATTGAATCTCTAATTTCCCACTGAGCCTGAACTAACCACAGGAACTTTCCTCACTTTTCAGTCCCGGTTCGCCAGTGTTCAGAGCAGCACTGGACCCATCTCTACCAGTTTCCAATAAACCTGTTAAACCTTCCCTTGGTCTCTCTGTTTGGTTTCCTGCATGTGGCTCCGATCTTTGCATAAAATCATGACATGTTCATATATATTACTAAAAAGCTTTCATATATCGTATTAAAAGCTGTCATATACACTACTAAATAGCTTTACTAATTAGCTTTTATACACACTACTACAAAATTTCCATATATATTTCTAATAAGCTTTCATATATAGTATTAAAAATCTTTCATATATATTACTAAATAGCTTTTATATATATTACTAAATAGCTTTCATATACACTAGGTAAGCATTTAAACAGAAAATAGATTCCATGAAGGTCATCAAACAAACATTGACATTTATTTAACCATTTTCTATTTCAAAATATCATATAATAAATATTTTAAATCTTATATAGAAAAATAATGACACTTTCAAAATTCACAGGATTTGTTTATTTTTTCCAAAGTTATGGGAGGAACGAAATATGTCAGGTGGCTAAAATATATGGTTCCCCTCACATGACAGCAAATAATGATCAAATGTGACCAAATTCACAGGTTTTGTTGTT